AGGAAGGAAGGAAGGAAGGAAGGAAGGAAGGAAGGAAGGAAGGAAGGAAGGAAGATGGCAGAGCCTTTTTTATTTTGCTTTTCAGCATACCAGCTCCTTTTTTTCTTACTAATTAAAATATCTAAAGTCAGCTTAGGGAGGGAGACCGATGGGTACCAGATTGCTTTATGGACCACCAGTAGGTTTAAAGGTACCCCGGAATAGCCTGGGGACCCTGAATGGCTCACTGGGCAGCCATTGTAATGGTCTGTGAGAATGTCCTTGAGAGACAGGAGGAGGAGGAGCCGCAGACTAGGCAACTGTCAGGTAAGAGGTCAGGTAAGAGGCAGAAGCAATGTGGGTGTGGCAAACATCTCAGAAGAGACTCTCCCTAGTTTCTTGGACTGTAAAGGCGAGCGGGGGACCAATGTCTGTTCAGACTTGCAAGATTCTGTTACTGTAACCTTACAGTAAAGGTAGTGTTAGTACTCATGATTGGTACTTCTTGTCTGGACTACCTCAAAGGGCTGATGGCCCTCCGATCACCACTACCCTCTTTCTCACTCTGGGCAGATATTTTGAAACAACAAAAATTACTCCTGAATGTGGAAGTTTCCCACCCTTACCCAAAAAAATTCTTTTAAGCTGATGCATTTTTTTCTTTTTTGCAAGACTGAATGCCCCTCTTTCCTTCCATCCCCAATTTTGCAATGTCCATCTCTGCCCTGCAGCCATAGCCTCTTATTCCAGTAGCTGTTTTCACCTCTCCCATTCCCCTTTGCTCTTGGAGGGTGAGGGGGGTGGGGAGAATCAACAGAAAAGCAGAGTCAGAATATTTGGTTTAGTTCCTCTTTGGTTGCTCAAGACATACAGAAACCAAAAACCAAGCAGGGGAATGTCTCTCCCCACCCCATGAAACTGCAGTTGAAAGAGGAACTGTAAATGCTGGAAAGGTCCAGAGGAACATGCGGGAAGGAAGGGACAGACGTGCAGATGTCCCTGTATGGCTGCTAATATTTTCTCCCTCCTTTAGGAGGTAAGGCCTTTGGGGCGCTGAAGGCTCAGCAGGAGGAATTGCTAGACTCCATCAACAAGGTAAGACTCAGATTGTGTTCACACCACACCCTGCACCATAAACCAATCACTTTTGAGCCCCAGATGCCCGCTTGCCCGAGCAATTCATTTACGCCAACCCAGAAAACTGAGCTGAGTAAAATATCCTTTGGATGACGATGAAGAAGATATTTTGCAAACCTAGGGATTGTGTGTCAGACCAGGTTCAAATCTACCCTCAGTCATGAAAGCTCCCTATGTGATTCTTGGCCTGAGAAGGGGGGACTGACCCAAAGGGCCAGTGTGGTCTAGTGGTGAAGGTATTGGACTAGGAGTGGGAAGACCTGGGCTCTAGTCCCCCTTCAACCACAGAAGCTCCCTGGGAGACTTTGGGTCCAAACATAGATTCTGCTCCCTAAATAAATACGTACCAATCTTGATACAAAATTCATTTTTATAACATTAGTTCTTCCCCACAAATTTAGGGTTATTTTCATCCATCTTTTAATACCCTGTTTTATCTGGGTGATATGTATTGAAGTGTTTTTATCCACTAAACAGGATCATAATTAGCAAGTTCCAATCAATAAACAAAAAACAGTTTGTTGCCAACTGGCACTATTATTATTATTATTATTATTATTATTATTATTATTATTATTATTTGATTTGTCCCCACCCATCTCCCCACAACAGGGGGAGTTGCACTTACTCCAATTTATTGTATACCTGAATATTTACCATACAGCTATATCACTTCAACAAACTCAGGTAAAGATTCTTGTAACTGCTGAATACGCACACACACACACAAACACACAACACACACACAGAGGTAGTCCTTGACTTATGACCATTCATTTAGTGACCGTTCAAATTTGGTGCTGAAAAAAGTTACTTACGACCAGTCCTCATGCTTACAACTGTTGCAGTTTCCCAGCAATCCCATGATTGTGATTTGGACACTTGGCAACTGTACTGCATTTACAACAGTTGCAATGTCCTATGGTCACGTAATCACTATTTGCAACCTTCCCAGCCAGCTTCCGACATGCAAAGTCAATGGGGAAGCTGGCAGGGAAGGTCACAAGTCACGGTTATGTGATGTCTCGCTTAACAACAGTGGCAAAAAAAGGTCATAAAATCAGGTGCAGTCACATGATGCCTCACTGAACGACTGCATCACTTAACAATGAATTTTCCGGCCCCTGTCGTGGTTGTAAATCGAGGACAACCTGTACACACAATGCACACATATAATCTGGAGATAACACCTTTTCTATATTTCAGCAAACCAGATACTGTAGATTTCATCCGGTTATCTTATGCCAAAAGTTCCAGCATTCGATTAAAGAATAGGGGAAATGAAGGACATCCTTCAGGTTCCATATTGCATTTAAATTACTGGTGAAATAATCCCATTAGTAAGTGCCTGAGCAGAGACATTCAGGTAATAGATTACAAACCAAGAAATACACTCTGCTGCAAATCTCAACCTCTGCAATTCACGTTGATCAGCATATAAAGCTATTTATGTCAACCAACGTCTTCAAATTATCTAGAGCATAATACCCTTTCAGGTCTTTATTTTCATAAGATGTCCAAAATATCTCCAAAACTAAAGGAGCTATGTTCTCCTTAGGGTTTTTTGTTTGTACCGATCTATAGTTATTCCATCATGTCCTTACCACATTTCATCTTACAGTATGAATGCTACTGTAGATTTCCTGTAATGTTAGGAATATTGTAGGAGAAGAGCAGTGTTAGTCTATGAGAGCTGAAAATCAGGAGGAGTCTGACAGCATCTTTTCCAACTAACAAGTTGGAATGATGGAGGGTTTAAATCGGGATAAGGTGGGGAATGACTGGCTGGTTATGCAGCTGCGGGTTACCCGTGAGGCTAGAGTTACCAGATATCTGAACAGGCAGAGGAGGACATGGACAACTGAAAAGGAGGACCAATTGCGGAAAAGGAGGACACATAACCGTTTAACTTTCTTGGCATCAGCCACAAAAATTACAGTGAAAAACTGCAAAAAAAATGTACTTCAAATCTAAGCGATCTTAGATTTGAAGGTCACAATACATGTCAGTTTCAATGACTACTGTTGTGAAAACAGTCCAAACCCCCCCCCAAGACACCCAAAAAGTCAGATAATATTTGATATTAAGCCTATGCCTGCTGGACAGAGGACATGAGGACAAGGGGGGAAAAGCCATTGTATTTGTGAAGACCTTTTGGCCTGAAACCTTTTGATGGATGTGAGTTCAGCAATCTCACACTCACTTTCAATTTCTTTTTTTCTAAAATAGTTATTTTCTGCCTTCCCCTCTTCCTCTCCCCCCTCCCCCAAGCTTCCTCCCAATTTAAATCCTACGTGAGTCTAGTCACTCCACGGCATCTGATGAAATGAGCCGTAGACCCCAAGAACTTCTGCCTTTTAATAAAATGTATTAGATGGAAAACTACCAGACTCCTCCTGATTCTTAAGGATGCAGCTGAATCTCCTGGCTGTACATCTGAAATTTCTGGAAGATTTGTTACATTTTTTTAAAAGCAGGATGGGCTTCTTCACCTCGAGGTGTTATGTGAATGGTTATCTACACTGTGGCTATGTTGTGAACATACCCACCCAACACTCTTAAAATTCTAGTTTGTCCCTGGCCCAAAATATTGCCTGCCCCCATAGTTTAGCTGCCCCCTGGTGGCTAACTTATACCATAACATTATCCAAACAAGCACTCAAGATGATCTCTGGTTTGCTGGTGATGGAAACACAGGAGAAACGCTATTCACAGGCAGATACCTACTGGGAAATATGGATTCAAAGACAACACTACACAAAATCAAATATGGACTTGTTGACCATACCCTTCCCAACAGGAAGGAACAAAGAAAAGACTTTCTTGGGGGGGGCACCCAGATGAGAAACTGCTCTTTGGGCAATCAGTGAAAGTAATTTTGTTCCAATATACATTTTTATCAAATTGATCTCTTTAATGGATTTTGTCTGACATCTATTTCTATTTTATTATTTTATTTCGCTGGGTTGCCATGTTGGTGCTGGGTCATAAGAGCAACCCTGAGTGTGTGTAATGGTCTGTGAGAATGTCCTTCAGAGACAAGAGGAGTAGGAGCCGCAGACTAGGCAACGATCAGATAAGAGGTAGCTTAGCCCACAGAAGGAATAGGAGTATGGCAAACAACAGAAGGGACTCTCCCTTGTTTCTTGGACAGAAAGGAGAGGCATACTTTGATTGGCAAGACTCTTTCACTTAACCCTACAATAAAGGTAGTGTTGGTGCTCATGGCTAATGCTTGTCTGGACCACCTTGAAGGGCTGAGAGTGTGTTTGCTCTGTCCTGTGAAATTCACTAAGAATTATTTACTACTGCCTTCCTAATTCTGAGGATTCGGTAGAATTTATCAGGATTTGGGGAATGGTAGTCCCAGCATATCCAGAGGTTTCAGGCAACACTTCAAATTCAAAAGGCTTTGGAGCAGCTTCCCCAGAATCACGCTACAGCTGGGGAGAAAAAATGAGCATGCTCTGAGCAGCAATTACCCTTTGAATAAAAACATGCCATAGGTCTCCTGAATATAAAGGAAGAATAGGCTTCATATTAATCTCCAGCATAACTGCATTAGGGATTTCTATATGCTGTTCCCCTGGATTGAAATGCTTCACACATACTTTGTCGTAACAGTCCTTATGACAACCTTGAAAGGTTGATCAATGTTATCCACACAGGTTTATTCTCCATGGAGATTGTTCATGACCACATCTCTCTCATAGCCTTTCAACATTCACAGCAAACCTACAGAGTCATTGATTTGAGCTTAGGCTGCCAAGTTGAGTTCATGTTTCAACAGGGTTTTATTCTGACGTGCAATCCATTGGCTTCAACTTTGGCTGGGAATCTTGGGTCTTGCAAGTCCAACACATCTGGAGGACATTGGGTTTAAAGTCTGTACTACTGTTTGTAGATAGGGGGGTTAGGTTAAGGAGTAGTAGGAATCCCATAAATTTATGATGTAGGTGAGATGTGAATCCAATAACTTTTGATTCCAACTTTATAAATAATTAGAATCATAGACTTGGAAGATACCTTTAAATGCCCTGCTCAATGCAGGATCCAGTAGAGGATCTCTGACAGATGACTATCCAACCTCTGCTTGAAGACCTCTACCTCTGCTGAAGGAAAACTCACCACTTCAAGTGGTAACTTGCTCCACTGGCTCATATATTCAGGAAATTTCTCTTGATATCTAGCCTGAACCTCCTTCCTTGTAATTTTTAACCCACTAGTGCTATTTCTGCCCTCTTGGGCACTAGAGAATAAGTCCACTCCTTCTTCAGATGTTTGAAGACTGCTATCATATCTCCCTTCAGTCGTTTTTTCTGTAGGTTAAACAAACTCATATCATTTAACTGTTCCTCATAGGACTCCGTTTCTAGCCATCTTGGCTGGTGTCTTCTGAATTCATTGCAATTTCTTACTATCCTTTTTGAACTGGGATGCCCAGACCTGGACACAGAATTCTACATGGGGTTTGACCAGGACAGAGTCATTCTGCCTTCAACATTCTGAGCTCATCAAGACTCTAATGCTGAGTAAAAATGATCACAACATATTTCCCTGAAATCTGATGTACATTCTGTTTCCTTGCTGATGGACACAGCAATCCGACGCTCACAAGTCTTCCAGCAGAATTATTCTATGAATTCCATCAATAAGAATATCAGCAGAAAATGGCAAGGGTTTTGTGCTCAGGCAGACCTGTTAAGAGTGTGAAAATAGTTTTGTCATGGCAGCCCTCTTCAAACTGATGCCCTAATAATATTTTTATTATTTCACTTGTAAAAGTACAAGGTAGGTAGGTAGGTAGGTAGGTAGGTAGACAGACAGACAGACAGACAGAGAAACAAAAGTTAAAATAGAACAAGATACATCTCGATGTGTGTAAAAAATACAATTTTATATTCGGGGGGGGTCAAAAATTCAAGATGGCAGCTGTGACTATGTGATTGAAGCCCCAACTTCTTTTTAAAATGGCTGTCATTATGTGGTCACAGTCACCATCTTTCCCCTTTTGACACCCCTCCCCAATGACCCTGCCTATTAAATTTAGACACCACCAAGACCTTTCTTAACATGCCCAGTAATTTAGAAATTTCAGCAGCTGGCAATGCATTAGGCCGCACTGCAATATCAACAATGTTTTAATTAGATATATTGCCACTGAGAATTTTTAGGCAATCCAAATTCTTTTTGAAGTGTCTCAAAACTTTAAAAGAATCTTTAGTGACCAGTTCAGTTAAATATTAATTCTTTTACCTGCCTAGGTTCTCCCAAAACAGTCTTTTATCTGCCATTTTTAAACTGTCGTTACCACAAAGGATCACGTTTCTCATGGGAATCGGGTTTAAACTGAAACCCTTCACCCCGGAGTCTTTCAAATATATCTTGCTGCAATTAAATCAAGGAAAGTAACAGAATATTGACTGACTGAAATTAGAACCAAGAACTTGCCATATTTTCAAAGGAATCAAATAATCACTTTCTTAGTTAAACCCCTACTGGTTTGTAGTCAAAGTTACTCTCATTCCATTTAAAAACAGAAGTCAAAATACATACGCCCAATGATATACAATTGAACATCTGGAAGGTTAACCCCTCCTCTTCATATGAAAGGCTTAAATCTAATGAAAACTGGGGTGGGGAGGCAATTACTCAGCCTTGATCTGAAGTGTGTGAACGGGATCCACACCCCTTTGGGCAGAAGGCTAGACACACGTTTTAATCCCCAGGCTACGAACCTACTACCATCAATCATGTTCCATTTTTCCTCAGCATTTATTCAGCTTCATTCAGAATAAAAAAGAAGAAATGGCTAACATACCATATCGTTATATCTACTAGAGCAGTGTTTCTCAACCTTGGCAATTTTAAGATGTGTGGACTCCAGCTCCCAGAATTCCCCAGCCAGCATGGCTGGCTACGGAATTCTGGGAGTTGAAGTCCACATATCATAAAGTTGCCAAAGTTGAGAAACACTGTACTAGAATATTATTCAGTGTTCAATGAGAATTACTTCCAGGTAAGTGTGAATGGAATTGGGTCTTCATGGTCTTAACAGGTCTTAAGATCAGCAGCCATTTTCCCATTAGGACATGCTGAATGCTATTCCCACCCTAACATTGCCTCTTTGCTTTCTGTTTAGGACCTATTCCTTGCTTTCCCACTCTAAACTCCTTTTTTTTCCTCCTTGGCCTTCTACAGGAATTCTTGGAGAGCCCAAAATACAGCACGGATGAAGACCTTGCTGAAAAATTAGAACTATTTAAAAGTGAGTGACATTGGTGAAGGACTTGAAGTAATGGGGGTTGTGGAATGGGATTTTGCAGCTTAGCAGAGTAAAATATATCTACTCCAATTTTTTTAAATGATGGGAGGGTCAGAACATTAGACAGCTTTTAGAAGGTACAGCAAGTAAGTGGCCTGAGGATTCCAGCCCTGGGCTGGACGAGAAGATGGAGATCCCTTCCGATCCTTGGATCCTTTGAATCTTGCAACAACAGACTGAAGTGTGGAGTGCTTCTGAACAAGATTCGATCAACCCCATTTCATTCCCACACTTCTCCAGACACTTCCACACTGCTAGTTTCCACTCCCCAATCCCCCCAATAGTTGAGAAATAATCCATGATTGACTTCAGTTCTGCTGACTCAAGAGTCATCCATACAGCCCCCTTGCCCTAGTTCAAAGATACCCCACTGACCCTTTGCAGAGGACATCTCCTTATAGCAGAGCTTCCACCTCATTGCCAGCCCCGCTACTAAGGCAGACTGAAGCTGGATCAGAGCGATCCAGTGGGAAAAGTGTTTTCCATCAGAAAATGGAACAAAATTCCTGTATGTGAACATTCAGTGCCACATGAAGGGCACCCTCAGAGAGGTCAGCAATCTGCAGCCCATCAGTTGGCCCACTTCAGCACTACCTTCTCTCATCCAACCGCAGGGCTCTCTGTCCCTTTTAACTATGGCTGCCATAAGATTAAACATCTCTCTTGCAGTTTGTCCATTCTTTTGTAGGCTGGAGGTTTGGTATGAGGAATACAGGTAGTCCTCACTTAACGACTACAATAGGGACCAGAAAATTGGTTGTTAGGTGGGATGGCTGTTAAGCGAATCGGACCCGATTTTACCACCTTTTTTGTGGCGGCTGTTAAGGGAATCATGGAGTCATTAAGTGAATCAAGCAGTTCCTCACTGATTTTGCCTGCCAGAAGGAAGGCCGCAAATGGTGAATATGTGACCCCAGGACGCTGCAACCATTCTAAGTGTGAGCTGGTTTGCAAGCACCCAGATTGCAATCACATGACCATGGAGGTGCTGCAACAGTTGTAAGTGCAAGGACTAGTTGTAAGTCCCTTTTTTTAGCACCATTGTAACTCCAAATGGTCACTAAATGAATGTTGTTAAGCGAGGACTACCTGTATTGATCTTGTGGAAGACTAAAAGCAGGTCTTCCATAAGGTCACTATTCACACTGATAAGCTATTCCCAAGCCTCAATCTCAGTCTTCCCTGCTTTCCCCAACTCATTGTTCTCCTTCTCTGCCTGCCTTTCTCCTCCACTGCCAAGCATCTGGGTCAAGTGCAGATCCTTCCCCTTCCCTGGCCATTTCCCCTCCATTGCCCCTTCTCTTACTTTCTCGCTTGCTAAAGAGCACCACTGCTGTCCCCAATAGCAGCAGCAGGTAACTATCAGACCAGGGCCAAACATGGATCTTTCCCCTTCTCTGCTAATCTTCCCTTTCCTGCTGCTTACCATCATGCTTTCTGGAGAACGCAGCTTCTCCCATGTGAGGGCAACAGCTCCACAATCCTTGTTCTAGAGATGCAATAAGAGGAACACGTGAGGACAGTGATTTTCAGACCAATGTAGTTTCCCTGCCAAAGAGAAGGAGGAAATTATCAGGATCGTATCCATTTTCACCCCTGCTTGCTTTGCCTGGCCTACTGAGGGGGAGATGCAAAGCTGGCAAGCCCACAGCCCATTAGAGGACCTGCCCATGCAGCTGGTGACCAGGAACTGGGAGAAGAGGAAAGAGTTCATTTCAATGGAGAAATGGCCCATCTCCAAGTTCCCCAGCCTTTCCCGCTCTACACTGGCTTCAAAGCCATTCACGAGGCATCTGACCCAGAAATAAAACAGCTCAGGTGCTGAATGAATGAATGAATGAATGAATGAATGAATGAATGAATGAATGAATGAATGAAATGTTGAACCGATCCAGAAGCGGTGTAAACAACTTGAGTGGAACTTGTTTCACTCCAACAACCAGTCAGCGCTCCATGCCCTGTAAATTTTTTCAATCTTCATTAGTCTAATCTGGGGGGGGGGGGGGGAAGGTAGGGAATGTCTTAATTTTCTTTTTCTTCGTTTGGGGGATTTGGGGGAAGGAGGCTAATCCCAGGTGCCTTTAGTTGTCTGATTTCCACACTGAGTAACAACAAATATACAGTGCGTGTTCCATCTCTGGAGGCATTTTTAAAAAGTGACTTCAAGTCAATCAGGAAATCTCAAGTCAATTACTTGGTTTTTTCCTCTTCTCCTTTGGTGTATCAATGAATCAATGAAAGAAGAGCCAGTTTGGTCTAGTGGTGAAGGCACCAGGCTAGAAACCAGGAGACGGTGAGTTCTAGTTCCGCCTTAGGCATGAGAGCCGGCTGGGTGACTTTGGGCCAGTCCGTCTCTCAGCCCAACTCACCTCACAAGGTTGTTGCTGTGGGGAAAATAGGAGGAGAAGGAGTATTAGATATGTTCCCTGCCTTGAGTTATTTATAAAAATAATAAAGGCAGGATTTTAAAAAATCTGTTTCCTTATGCTTTGCAGCCACTCCTTTCTTTTAATCCTCCCATCTTCACATTACACTGAAGCTTCATTTATTCCGTATTCCATGCTACTGTATTATTAAGGGGAGTTAAATCAGAGAGAGAGAGAGAGATAGGATTACATTGACTCATAATCCGTCTTCCTTGTGCACCCAAGCACAGAAGAGTCAAATTACCATAAGACAGAATAAAATCTCCATGTTCATGTGCAGTATACATCTAAATCTGAGGACTAGATCCCTTCTTCATAGGATCATCTGAGCAGTTACTATTGGAACTTATGGTGGATTGGATAGACTTTATGCCTGATTTAGTAAGTCAGTTATAATGTCCTGTTGACCTGCTTTCTTTTGCAGAAAAGTACATGGAATTTGATCTCAATGCACAAGGTGATATAGGTAAGTTTTATTGACAGGTGAGATTCACACATATGGGTGCACAAATAGGTATTTTTTCCGTATCCACCACAATTTTCCTGCTCCCTAAATAATTCAGACCATACACAGACACACAGAAATATGCTAAGATTTGTTTTCTATCCTATACTCCCAGGAACTCCTCATCCAAGATATGTAAAATTAACCACAGTTGTAAAAACGAAATTGCCATGTTGTACAAAAAATATAGATTTACAATTTAGTGTAAAACTGAACCGGTCGATCTATTTGTAAATCTTTTGCAGTTTCCATTTGGTGTTATTTCTGCATCAATCTGCCATTTTGTAAAAACAACCCTCACATTCTCAAAATTAAATATTTACTTTAAACTTATATTCAAACATATGCGTCCTCAAAACAAACATTTCTAAACTCACTCAAAAATATACATATGAATTGGCGTTTTGGACTGCTTTTTGAATCAGGCCCTACATTACTAAATCTGGAGGTGCACAATTAGAAAGGAAACTGTATTCTAATCCAAATCTTAATTCAGGAAATATGGATTGGATCAAATCCATTTCTATCGCATTTTTAAAAGAATGAAGTCCTCAAGTCCCGTGCTTTGTCAGTTGTTCTTATTACTAATCAATAATAACCATGGTAAAATAATGTTTCCTCTGAATCAAGCTTGATTCCTCACCTCGTCATGTTTGCACCCATGTCACTTTTTGGCAACACTATAGAAAATTATTTCGCATTTATATACATGGAGAGCTCTCCAAGCATCATACAGTTAAAAAATGATATCATTAAAGAGGAAGAGCTGAAAAAACAAAGCATGTTGCTTTCAAAAGCCAAGTCGTTTAAACTACAAAAGCCAGCATGAAAATTATTTAAATATAATTAAATCAAAACCAAAGAATTAAAACCAGTCAAGTTTTAAGTTAAGACGATTAACATGGCAAAGACTGAAAGGCCTGAAAAAAAAAGGGCCGCAAAAAACATGTAAAAATATTAAATGTTCATACATTTGTGAATGAGGGCAGTACAGTGATTAAGATGTTGGTCTAAGACCGGGCAGCCCCAGGTTTAAATCCACTGTCACCCATGGAAATTGGATGATTTTGGAGCTTATTTCACAGGGCCATTATCTGGGGGCTAATCCTCATATAAGCCCCCTTGAACCTCTGGAGAAAAGATGAGATTAAAGTCAAATAGATTTACCTGAAGTGGAATAATACAGCTAGCCCTACTAATTTTTTGTAGCTTTTTGTAGAGAGGACATTTTTAAAGCCAAACACAACCAAGAGCTGAGACCATCACCTGGAGAACAGAAACACATGTTCATATCTGCACACACAGAAAATGCAAGTTTGGGGCATTCCTCATCCAGCTGTGTACATAAAGGATAACAGCAACCAAGGTTCCAGCATACCAACTGATATTATGATTTCAAATCTCTGTTTGTTTGACTAGTGTGTAACTTCATTCTCCTGTACAGTGAATAAACAGCTTCCCTTGCATGTGTTCCCCACACCTGAAATTAACTAAAGTAGTTCTTACTCATCTCCTGGCCTCACCTTTTATTGATTCCTGAGAGTTGGCACTTAATTTGCCATTCTTTTTAGGCACTGTTTGGAGGAAAATGTTTGAAAACACAGATTGTGCTGGAAACCAGAGGATTTTGGAAACCTTTTGGATTCAGTTAATCCAGGTGGAGCTTGCCCATTAGTCCAATCCATTCGTAGCCTTTATCATTCTCAGGACCAGGTCTGGGACTAAAAGGGGTTTAAGTTAGGGAGATGTTAGATTTCTTCCAAGTTATTTTTGTAATGCCACTGAATCACTTGGCTGGATCCAGACCAGCATTGCTGTAGGAGTCCCAAAAGAGCAATGGCTTTGTAGAAGTTGGCAGGGATTGACCTGTCACTTATTTTTCTATCCAGGGAGCAGAAATACATGTAAAGGCATTTGCCACCTGAAAAATTCCATATTTTCTTAGAAGCTGGTACATCTCGTATGCCTTATTTCTTCCTTTTTATTGTGGTTCATTTTTGTGCCTCCTACTCCCTCAAGATATCATGGCTCTGAAGCGGATGTTGGAAAAGTTGGGTGCAGCCAAGACCCACCTAGAACTGAAAAAAATGATCACTGAGGTCACAGGAGGGATGAGCGAAACCATCTGTTACCGGGACTTTGTCTCTGTGATGCTGGGAAAGAGATCAGCTATCCTTAAAATGTAAGTACAATGTATGCATTCCCCACACCACGCTGCAAACTTGTCCTAATTCCTATATATTATGTGTGTATAAGTCAGGCCCAGCCCAAGAACAACGGTGAAACAGTCCAGATGAGTCCAGTTCCTTCATTGGCAGACAGAATCTTGCCAGACTAAATCTATACTACAGCAACTAGTGGATATACCCTGGGAGATTCTAGCGGGTGGCTACCCTGAACCTCTTTCGCTTCCCATGCTCCCCCTGCGGACTGTGCTGCCTCTTGCCTCCTCCCTCCTCCTGGCATGCACCCCCTCCCTCCTGATAGCCTTGCTCTCTCACATCACCTCCTCTTCGTAGACACATTCCATCACCATATAAGAATAACCTATGGAATCCATATTTTTGCTAAACTATAACTCCTAGCATCCCTCACTGCGGACCACACTGGCTAGGACTGATGGGAGCTGAAGTTCAGCAACATCTAGAGGCCCAGAAGTTCCTCAAGTTGGCATGATGTCATATGGGACTCATTTATACAAAAGACAGGTTAATATATATATATATGTGCGTGTGATAGTCATACAAATGTCTATGCATCTGAATAATACTTGCATTAGATAAATATATATAGGTCTGATAACTATTTACCATTATAATGTATTTTTGTCACCCTTTTGTAATAGCACTTTTTAATGTTTTTTCCTTCTTCTTGATAGTGTATTATTGTGTTTTGTTTTTCTTTTTGTTATTAATTAAAAAAGCAATAACAATATTTTTTAAAAGTTGGCATGTCGCCTACCATACTAGTGTATGAACTGGCCAGAGGTAGAACAGGTTTAAAAGCAGGTCTCTGCAGTTGTTAGGAATCTGTGGACAGATC